GTTAGGCCTCTTGGCTTCTTAAAATTAATTATACTATGCTCAAGCACTTTCATTTCTGTTATGACATTTAAAAGACACACAGACAAGAGGGAAGAAACAAGGAGGGGTGAAGAGAATACCTTTCAACCACCAATACTCAAGTTCAGCAGGCATAGGCAACCTCAGTGGGGCCTTATAGAAGGAGTTTAACCACATCTCTCTTTCCTGATCCACTTCATGCACATATGTCTTCCAATAATCAGGCACCTGCCAGATACACAGTTACTTCCATTTCATGTTATGTGATATTAGGAAGATTCTACTAGGCCAAATGGGATTTTTACTTCATAGAACTGGTTGATAAAGCCTGGTGCCATCCACACATCTTCTTCCTCATAGAAATAAGGGTGTTGTGGATCACTGTAAGGACCCCTCTCTTCTCTAACCACTGTACAGCAAATAAATAAAATTAAAATAGTCAGCACTTGCATGTTAAAATCTTAGTCCAATTAGGCAAATAGAAAATCCAAAATGCTATAAGAAATTCAATTTCTAACATTACACAAGTGCTTGTGAAAATGCCAAATCTTAAAGGAACAGCTTGAAATGAGGTCCCAAATACAAGGGGAAAAAGGTTAAATATTCAAATATGATACTTAGATCTCCATAAAGTCTCTCACGATTAAACTTTCTGTGTCCAAACATGAGATTTCTTTACGATTTCCAACAGTTTTTATGAGCAAAAAACGTGTTGTCCAAGAAACTGGATATCTATCTCTAGACTTGGGTTACTTAACCACAGAAATACAGCTCAAACAAGTTTAAGATTTCAGCTAAAATTTACAAAATGATACAGGTCACCACCATATTTATTTTCCTTGGCATAGTTCAGGACTTAATTTGCTGTTCTTGAACAAAAGTTACTGTTAGTAGAGATGGGACTACATACTTCCATCTGGCTTGTTAACAAACATCCGAGCCTTAGCAGCAGCTACTTCTGCTATACCAGAATGTATCTGAAAAGGCCAGTGTTATTTAAATATCAGCTTGCAATATTGTTTTATACAGTATAATTCATGAAAGAATGGAAAATACCGCAGAAATATTCTCATCACAGCCACCAAAATCATCCAATAGCTCCCCAAAATAAAATCGACCCTGCATGCATATGGATATGCAACAACAGAACAATCAAGTTCACTAGTAAAAGGTTTCAGGTTGGCTGACAGACGATAATGCAATAGGAGAGATTTTATATATATACATACATATATATATATATACAAAAGAAAGAGTTCTGTTATTATAATTTGATCTTTGAACTCAATTGGTTATGTTCAATGCACTTACGTATATGGTGCGTTCATTGACTTCATATACACCACATCCATGCATTCTGCCATGCTTCCACTGGCCAGCATAGCGATACCTACCCTTCTCCCTGGAATAGAACCATTGAAGACAATAAGACCAAAGAACTAAAGATAATTAGAGCATTAATATATGAAAAATAAAATCATCTACATTGATGGAAACAACAATAATCATGATGACATGACATCAATAAAAGCAGCCAAAAGAAAGATGGCTTCACTGGTGAACTTACGGTTTCCTCCCAAATTGTCTAATCCACTCATCATTCTCATAAAAAGGAATTTCTTTCTCCTTGCCAGCCAGATGAAGGCTATCTTCAATATCCATCTCTAGCCATTCCCTGTCTTCTGGGGTCATAAAATCTCTTTGTATTATTTTCCCTTCAGCACGCATTTTTGCTTCAAGCCTAGGAATATAGAGAGCATATCATATAATTTATAGTTCAGTTTATAACAGCTGCTTTATCACATGAGAAGACAGATAGGAATCATAGACCTACTTGGAACCTGGCACAGGTTCTATACCAGGTATATCAACTTCAACAACACCATGGCCTTCCATATTGTTTTGAAGCCATTCACCTTCATACCTATAATTGGTCAATTGGTCAATTGGTCTTATATCAAATATGATGCAAAAGTTGTAGGAACAGGATTTTCCAATCATTGGTCATGGAATCATATAATCAGGAATACAACACATTGCAAATAACTTTGCAAATTCAAACACCCAAAAAAGATGGGAAAAAAACCAGATTAGATAGCATTAGTGCAGATCAACTGAATTACTAGTATAAATTGACAGAAGGTTGTATAGCCCAACCACTTTAACAAGGCAAAGATGCTTCTGGATGTCTAAGTGACCCCGAGAGTGTGATGGCACTAGACAGGCACCAATAAGAGAGATAGAGAAATAGGATACATAGCATTGACAAACCTGACCAGTCCCTGTTCAGCAACATAAACACCTTTCCCATGAGCCAAGTCATCCCAAACAGTCCCTTCATACCTTGAACAAAAAGCATAATTCAAGATAGTGAGGGATTTACATAAAACATGTACCATTCAAACAAGATATGAAGAAAAAACAATCAACAAATAGATTTCCCATCCATTTCAAGACAAATAATAATAACTGAGATGAATGACCATAAAGGTATGCCACATGTTAGATAACTTTTCATTGTCAATCAGCTTTGTAAATGCTATAGACCAAAAAGTCACATCAGAACTTCAACAAGTGAAAGGGAAGGAAAATAGAGAAGAGCTAACAAAGAAGTAATTTGTGTTATTCTAGTGACTCAAACTTGAATAAAATATCAGGAAATGAAGATAAGAACGCTAAACAAGGAAATTTAAGCAATTCCAATGATGAACTTCTTGGTCCAAACAAATCCCTTACCAGACCACATGTTCGATGTATAGCTTATGCACACAATACCCCATTTACCAAAACGGAAACATAACCCTTAAAAACCATCACAGGTAACAAAAATCAGCCAAATTTCAAGAGAACATGACAAACAAACACCACCCATGAAACTGAAACTGAAAGTAAGAAGCCAGACAAGCCCTGTTAATCAATACTAACAAATAAGAACAGATAGAGAGATACATACGTGCTCCCATCAGGGAAAATGTAGCTGACCCAAGTAAGGAACTCCTCGATCCTATCCAATTCCTCGACGGCCCCCTTGGGTCCCTTTATATCATAGTCGTCTTTCGGGACAGGCGGATAAGTCTTCCTAAAAGGCACATAAAAGGGTGCAATGGGAGGGTCCCTTCCGGCCCTAATTTCTTCATTGACGACTTCCCAGTCCTCCTCGTCCGCCCAGACGGGGTCCCACCCAGGCTTAGTCATGAACAGCGGAGCATCCGCCCAAAGCTCCTCCACATCTTCCTCCCGCCACCGCTCTGGATCCTCCGGGAAGTCCCACTTCACTTCTTCAGGCACATATCTCAGAAGTCGCCTTCGCTCCTCCTCTTCTTGGAGTGCCTTGTACCTTTTGCTCTCGAGTACTTTCGTCAATCTCCTGAAGTAAGTTTCAGGGGCGGCGTCCTTCCGAGGCTCGTTGCCGGGGAGGTCTGGTTCGATTTCTTCGTCCATGTCGTCATCAGTGGAGGATGAATCCTGATCCTCTTCGGGTTCCGAGTCAGATTCATCATCTTCTTCAGCATTTGGGTATGGAAACTGCTCCTTTTGCGGTTGCCTTTCTTGGTCTTGCTTGGAATCAGTGAGGACTTCATTAGCCATTTCAGAGAAGATAAGGTAGGAACGATGGCTACAAAGAAAATGAGAGCAGTGAAGATAGCTGTGGCGGATTTTTGTTTTTGGGCGGCTTCACCGTTTTGTACCTAATATTCTAATAACAAGCACTTTTATTTATTTATTTATTTATTTTATTTTCTTCCAACGGTTAATAATGTAATTTTAAAAATTATTTTTTTTGTCAACTACCTAAATAATTTTATGATTATTTATTTTTTGTTAAAAGTAAAAGTTTTTGAATTCAAGTTGTATGACATATATGTGAGATATAATGAGAAATTAAAAATGGTTCTTTTTTATCATGTAATTAAGATAAAAAAATTATTTTTTCTTTTTGTTAATGTGATTCAAGTTTTTAGATATGTTTAAAATATGTTAAAATAATAATAAATAATTTTATTTAAAATATTTAAATAAATTTATAACATATATTATACTTTTAATATGTAATCTATTTAAAAAAAAAATTTTTCTTTGTTAATATGTATTTTAAAAACAATGTACCCAAAAAATATTTTAAAATTAGACATATCTGTTTTACTTTTACTTTTACTAACTGAAATATACCATATGTGAAACAAGGTATTAAATGGTGAAAGTTAAGCCCACCTTTCATCTAATAATTATAGTTGTGTAATTTAATACAATTTAAATTTTACAATACTTATTTCTTAAAAATATTAAAGCACAGGACAAAGTTTGGAATAAATATTTTTATTAAATCCTCCTTTGAAAGGTGAGTTTGCATGCTAAATGATTGGTATATAGAGTATATATTACTGCATGTGTGTATATATATATTCTTACACATAATGAAAAGTACATATTAACTAATTGTGGCTTAGTTTTAATTTCTTTTAACAAAAATAAATATTATTGAGTTTAAATCATTCAACATTCATATAAACTAAGTTAAGAAATAAGAAAGAATACAAAAATAATAAATATAGTTTTTGATCCAATTGAAAATGCATTTTAATCTCTTTTTTTTTTTCTAGTGATCATAAATATGGAAATAAAATGAAATAAAATCAATTTCTTTAAAAAAAATTTGATTGATAGATGTTGGGAAATGATTGTTAATTTTTTTGAGTTAGAAACTAACTGCTTAGCAATTATTAGTGGTAAAGATTTAAATTTTTAACTTTAAAATTAATAAAAGATATCATCATTTAATTAATAAAATATATTCCATTAAAAGGCAAATAAAAAATTAAATTAAGAAAAAAAAAATTATGTACAATTAAAAGAATTTTTTTTTATTATTATTTAGTAGTTAAAAAAAATGATTATTTAGGACTTTGGAGGACTTGATGGTGGCAAGGACATGGTCCATTTTTTGGGCAGTTAGCGGAAAACTAAAATTGAGCCTGCAAAATGTAATTTGGTTAGGGCCCGATTATTAGCCCATTCTAGAAACTCCGACCCCAAAGGAACCATTAAGCCCATTCTTCATTTGGCAAACAGGCAAAGGGCTACAAACATGGGCCATGGGCTGTTAATCTTCGATTTAGCATAAGTTCCTAAAAAAAAAAAAGGAGGGGAAGATAGCTCTTTATTATTTTTCCAGGAAACAAAAAAAGAAGGGTCAAATGTTTTATTCAGTGTATTTGAAGAGAGCCATTTCTGTCTGTATCAACTCTCAAAAATTGACCACTAGATTAATTAATAACCTTTTAGATTAAAGTTTATGAATCTTTAAAAGTTTAAGTTTAAGTTGTTAATGATGATTAATTTTCACACTTGCATACTAATTATACTCATACTTCCATCTCGAAAAAGAATTCAAGGTGTTACAATCCAATGGTTCATTTTTGAAATACATGGAAAGTCACTTTCATCATTAGGGTATGGCTCCAATTGCTTGTTGTTCACCAAGATAAGATACTAGCACCCCAAGCAGATAGGCCTTTCTTAGCTGGCCTGGCTTTTTTCATTAATTTACACTGAAAAACACATTTATGTACATACTTGGTGGAACAAAACTGCAAAAAATTTCATTTTTAATCCCAAAATTTTTCTTTAACCGGATTAGATTTGCTAAGAACATGTTGGAAAACGAAATAGAAGAGAAAAACAACACCAAACGTAACCCAACTAACCCTTTTCCTAATCCTATTTACACCCTTTATCTCTTTTTTAAACTGGAATCTATGACCTCCAATTTCCAAAGTATTTTTGATTTAAAGGAAGAGAATAAAAGAGGAAAAAATCATTTGATTAGTAAAAAAAATTTTAAAATGAATGGAAAAAAAATAAAAGTTTTATTTTAGTTTTTACTTTAATTTCATTCCTTCTTTTCCCGTCATTTACTCAAATTAAATATTCTCCTGCATAAAATAAAATATTATGAAGTTATTTAGTCAATCAATCAAATAATATGAAATGATCC